AGACAGAATGACCAACACTGAAGTCAGAGAATTCAATCTATTTTTTGGTGTGATGTGTTTCCCTACATATGCCCTGGAACGTGAGAACTATCAGTAAAGAGAAATAGCTACTGTGTAGCCAGTTTCCAACTAGTCGCTCTTGGTCATTGTGAACTTTTTGTGGTGGAGGGAGGGAATCATAGCCCACTGAGAATCTTATAAAACCTATGGACATTTGCCCCAGCACAACACAGATACTCACAATTTTAGCACCAGTTCTTGGAATTTCTTGTACCAACCTCCCAAAACTTGTTCATAGACACTCCTGAAAGACTAGAATATCTTTTAGCTGAATTCTGTGAGTCTGTCTCTTCAACCAGATAAACTCTTTGAAGAGTTCTATATTTGTGTACGCTTTGTAGCATTTAGCTCCGCTCTGGGTGGAGAGTAGATGCACAGCATTTACTGGCTAATTCACCCTTGGAACCCCAAGGGTGGCCAGAAGAAATGACACACAGTCTCATAGCAGCCCTACTTGAGATGGAAAAGTGCAGGTGGTCTTTGGACAAGAGCAGGAGAGACACCAGTGTGGTGTAGAGCTAGGAAAAGTAAGATGTTTTTCCTGAGCTGAGCCTCTGGGCATCCTGGGAGGCTAAGAGAAGGCATGAACAGGGAGAGGCCTTATGTTCGTTGTCCTATCTCTGGAGTTTAGAAGAGACTGCTGGTCAGTAACCTTGCACGTGGAGGGAACATGGGCAAATTGTCAAGGATTTAAGATCCAGAAGGCAGCATGTTAGCTACAGAACAATGCAAAAATTAAGCAGTTACTACCAGTTTATACCATATGGAAGTGACAGCTACACTATCTCTAATGATTGCTGCCAACATTGTCTAGAACCATGTAAGCAAATAAAGAGCACTATTACTTTCTTACACATTATCTTCCTGTGAAACAGGCAGAACCAGGGGTGTATTATCAACTCAGACATTTTCCCCAGTTTCCTGCCTCACATCTGCAAGACTGTCATCTTAAATTGCTCTGGTAGCTGAGCTAGATGTGAGGATTTGAAGAAACCTTGGGAAAGGCCTCATTATCTTATCCTAGTGTTTGAACTGAAAGGAAATCTGTTTATCAACAGAAAAACAGAAAGCTCTTCTTTACAGAAGAATTCAGCTAATACATGTAGAAGGAATAATAAAATTAGAAAATCACCATATTGCAGCTTCCAGTGTAATAATTTATTTAGACAAAAGTATCAATAGACGCCAAATCCCCTGGGCAAAAGGTTGATGGGGAACAAGATATTCATCACCCTGCACATTACCCACTAATTATGAAGTGGAAAACAGACCTATACAATGAAGAAATATGGCAATCGCCCACAATAACCAAGTGATCAAATTTACCATCAACAATCCTGGAACAATCAGACACTATTTGCATCCTGATATGATTCTATAAGAAGTACACAACATCACATATGAAATATTCTTGCCAAAAATGTTTGAGGAAACAATCAAACAAACCCAGAATTTGGGGCATTCCACAAGACCATTGGCCTGGGCTCTTCAAATAGATCAGTGTCATGAAAAAAAAATGGCAGGAGGACTATCTAGATTTAAAAAGACTAAAACAAACATTACAAGTAAATGCAACATGTGACCCTTTATTGGATCCAGGATTGAAAGAAATTAAAAATAAATCTGTAGAAGACATTGTTCAGCAATTAGAAAAATTTGGATCTAGACTATAAAAGAAAATTGTGGCATTACTAATACTTAGGTGTGATTATGGTATTGTAGTTATGTAGGAGAATACCCTTGTCCTTAGATGTTCCCTAAAGTAGGGTCTTTTCAAGTCAACCAGAAAAGCAAATGGAATTATACGTGAGAAAACGGAAGTGGGAAACTTGAGAATTTTTATAGGCTTCATTTTCTGTTTCTCCTAGGAAAGTTATTTAATGATCAATAGAGCTAGTCACTAAACCAGGCACTGGATTCTACTTAATTCAGTTACTGATCAAGTAGAACTGGTAACTTTTTCACTTCTCATGCTATATCAGTTTGTCCAGTCTCAAGCAAAGTAACTGCTTCCTTTTGTTCCCACTTAATTCTGTTCCCAGATTTAAAGTAGTTTTCCCTCTAATTGTAGTTTTAGGATATGAGTAACCTGTATCATGAGTTCAACCCAGATGGAGAGTTTGAGGTTAATCCTTCATGAAACAGATCAGTTAAGTAGGGTCTGCCAGGGAAGTGGGGTTGGAGGGGTGGGGAGTAGGGTAGAGGGATCTATACAGGAACATTTTTTGGTTGCTTAGTGCTTGGCTGTCAATATTACACTGATATTTAATGGGTAACTACATATTCTGCCAGGCACTCTGTGCTGGGCACTGGGGATAATGGCAAAGAGTAGAAGGAGTAGAATGCAATGTGCTTTTGCTGTCTGCCTTTTTCTTAATCACTACCTTCCTTCCAGAGAATTTCAAATGTGGTGTTTAGATGGTAACAAATAGGAAGATTGGCTGCTTTTTAATCATAGTTTGTAGTCCTCAGCTGGTCTTTCATTCCGTTTCCTTCATTGTTTCTTCTTTCCAGTAATTTCTTGCAGCTCTAACAGCTGTGACCTAGGAAATAACCTAGATGCTGCCCAGGTCCTCTGGTATTCCTTAATTACTTCACCACGATCCAGGCACCTGACGGTTCACACTGGAATGTTTCTCCATTAAAGATACACGTTATCAAAATGATCCTTTGTCATTAAAACATTTATATTGAATATAATATAGCAAATGAAGGAGGGAAGTAGCTTCTTCTGAGTAGTTTCTCTACTCAACTTTCCCTCAAACAAGCTCTTTATTTACATTTATAACTGCTACCTCTTAGGAGGAAAAGAAGGAGGAAACAGAAAGTGCATCTATTATAAAGGCAGTCTAAGTCTCACTCAACACCTGAAATACCATGCAGAGACAGATGAAATTAGCTATCCCTGGAGAAAATGAGCGATTCTGTAAAGATTAGTGTTCATTAGAGAAAAAAATTAAATAACATATAGTACTCTTATGATCAAAAATAAATGAAACTATTTAAAAGAGAAAGATGATTATTTCCAAAAGAATCTCACTCATGGGAAAAGCAAGGTCTTTCTAAATTTCTGAATATATTGTTTTATACCTGAATGAGAAAACATTATAATAAGGCTCAATAAAAAGATTTCCATGTAGTTAACAAGTAAACCTGGTCTTCCCAAAAAAATGTTTCAGGTAAGAATTTGCTAATTGTTTTTAACTTGTGCATTATTGAATGATCATTTGATCTTCAGAAAAAGCAAAATGTTTAAGTTCATCTGCTTTTGGAAAAGTTCACTTAGTTCAAGAAGTAGGATTAAAAGCTTCTGTTAGAGGGCCGGCCCCGTGGCTAAGCGGTTAAGCGTGCACGCTCTGCTACTGGATCCCGGGCGTGCCCCAAGACACCACTTCTCCGGCCATGCTGAGGCCACGTCCCACATGCAGCAACTAGGAGGATGTGCAACTATGACATACAACTATCTACTGGGGCTTTGGGGGAAAAAAACAGGAGGAGGATTGGCAATAGATGTTAGCTCAGAGCCAGTCTTCCTCAGCAAACAAAAAGAGGAGGATTAGCATGGATGTTAGCTCAGGGCTGATCTTCCTCACACACACAAAGAAAAGCTGCTATTACAAAATCTATGTATTGTTTATTGCCCTTGCTTTAAAAAAAGAAGAAAAAGAAGAGTGTGTACAGGCTCACCCCAAATCAGTATTAGAAATTAGGTTCTCAGATTAAATTAGCCTTTATTTCTCTTCCACTTCAATTATTTTCAGCACATTATCACATGGGAAGAGGCACCAATATTAAAAAGAAAATAAAAAAAGACTACTTATAATGGTAACCTACTTTGGAACAATGTTTCAAAGCAATGGAGTGGCACTTGTTAAAGTGTCAATCCATACTACCAAGTAAAGGAACAAGAGAAACTTTTCATGTGTTTCATGAAATAACTCTTAATCAGCAAGGAATTAAAGTTTGATCAATTGTAGCCATTAAATTATGAATCTTATTTTGTGTCACAATCTCATTTAAAATGTAGTAGAAGCAGAAAAATCTTAGGGAAATGAGGAAACAGTAGAGTTTACCTTAAAAGTCTATTTTATGGGGAAAGAAATCATGGATTTCTATCATTCCCCCGTAGAGAAGAAGCCTGTTCAGGAAGTGTAGGAAACTTTTTGCTCGTAGGATGGGACACCCTGATAAAGACGTGTATTTGGCAAATGCTGGCATCCATAGAGCACACAATAGCAAAGAGAGTTGGCAGATTTGGGTGGAATTTAGAATGCACGAGTGGCTTTCAGAATAATTTCCGAAGCTATGTCCTTTGATTCTTTGGGCTCCCCAGTTCCTCCCACAGTGCCTGGCACATGATGGATACTTAATATATATTTATTATATAGATACATTAGTCAATATATTCCTTAGCATCATTTATATGCATGGGATATCTGGGTCTCTAAGGGTCAGTTAAAGTGATAATGGAGATCCCTAAAGTATTATAGGCAAACTAAGTGGCCCTGGTTATTTAATATTCATCTATGTATATTAAGAAAAGCTCCTTCATTTTAACATTTTTATTAAATTAAGACATAGGGGCTGGCCTGGTGGTGCAAGCAGTTAAGTGTGTGCTCTCCGCTGCGGCAGCCCGGGGTTCGCCGGTTCGGATCCCGGGCGCGCACCAATGCACTGCTAGTTAAGCCATGCTGTGGCGGCATCCCATATAAAGTGCAGGAAGAGGAGCATGGATGTTAGCCCAGGGCCAGTCTTCCTCAGCAAAAAAAAAAAAAAAAATTAAGACATAGCCGATAATAACTAGTAGGTTATCCGTATCCTAAACAGGCCAGACTTCAGAAGCCTACCAGGCCTGCAAGTAGAGTGGAGTCAAAATGCCTGGATTTTTCCACTCCTAGGTATTTGTCTACCCAAAGAAATGAAAATATACATCAACACAAAACTTGTGCACGAATGCTCATAGTAGTAGTATTCATAATAGGCAAAAAGTGGAAACAATCCAAATGTTCATCATCTGATATACAGATAAAATGTGGAGTATCTCTACAATGGAATATTATTCAGCCATAAAAACAAATGAATTAATGACACATGCTGTAACATTGATGAATCTTGAAAACATCATGCAAAGTGAAATAAGGCAGTCACATAGAAAAAGGCTACATATTATATGATTCCATTTATATAAAATGTCCAGAATAAATAAATCTATAGGAACAGAAAGTAGATCGGTGTTTGCCTAGAGCTGGCAGGGAGTGGGGGTGCTGGAGGACAATGGGGATGACTGATAAAAAGGATAGGATTGCTTGTTGAGGCGATGAAAATTTTCCAAAACTGATTGCGATGATGATTGTACATCTCTGTGATTAGCCAAGAAACCACGGAATTATATGCTTTAAATGGGTGAATTATATGGCATACGAATTATTTCTCAATAAAGTTCTTACAAAAGTAAAATGCTGGGTTTGAATCTTGCGACTTGTCACTTGCTAGCTTAGGTGAGTTGCTTATCTGAAAAGGGGCTAATATAGTGTCTACCTCATGGGGTTGTTGCTCTAAAGATTAAGTAAGATAATCCTAGTGAAAAGCCTCAAACATAACAAGCACATAAGTGTGGTAGCTATTATTAATTATTAAAGGACATTGCTCCATCCACAGCCCATGCTGCTATATTTTGTACCATTTAGGGTGCACCCCAGGCCCCACGCCCCAAAACCTGCAGCACAGCCTCATGTGAAAAGGGGACCTGGGCCGGTCAAATTCCAGCTCTTTAGATTTAAATGGAGAAACAGAGAGACTAGGGTAAATGACTGTGAGGCTTAAATTTTCAAGGTCACAGGGGTTGGGTGAGCCCTATGCAAATCAAGGTGCTGGAGGAGCAGAAATAACTATGAGGGAACAGAGGGGAACGTGAAAGAGATGCTCAGGAGAAGGAGAAACGCCGTAAGTGAAGGTGAGCGTGGCCAGTCCCTACAACTGCCTGAATCCTGATAATTCCCTTGTCAAGTCCCAAGCCACTTGTAACCATGCACTCTGTCACTGCCACTGTGTAAGTCAGTGTAACCAATTGCTAAATAGCAGGGGTGCTGCAGAGTCCAAGACCCACGTTCAAATCCCAGCTCACCACTTACTAGCTCTGTGACTTTGGGCAAGACACTATACTGGCCCCTCTTCAGAGAAATCATTTTACTTAAGCTCTCTGAACCTCAGTCTCCTTATCTGTCCAATTGGTGTCATGATAGAACTTGCCATATTGTGTTGTTGAAGGAATGAAATGAGATATTGCATCTAAGTGCTCAGCACATAGTACCTACTCAATAATAGATTATTTATACTGCAGTCTTTTTTTTTTAATAATGTAACTTTACTCCTTGCACACAAAGCCATTTAATTAAATAGCTGGTTATACAAAGTTATTTACAACGTGAAGTCCTATAGTTGAAAGATAAATTGTACAAAAGGATATTTGAAAGTGGAAATTTTAGAAACAAGTGATCTACTCAATCCCTTCTTTTGCTGATGAAGGAATGGACATCTGAATATTCAGTGGTCCTTCCAGATCACACAGCCAAACCAAAGCTCAGAGGAATGAGAAGCCATGCTTCTTGACCCCAGGTTGGAGCTCAGTCTACTGACTCTCAGATCACTGGGATTGAAACTACTAAATTAGCTCAGCAGACTTTCCTACCTATTCTTTAACCAGCTCTTTATTATTTTTAAACAGAAGGCATAATGAAAGTCCTAACACTATTTACTTTTATATTATATAAATTTTACTATATAAATTATAATAAATTAAATCCACTATTTATTATAGTGGGGTTTTATTCCACTGAGCTATTGGCTTGTCCATCAATATGGCCAAATTCCATGAGGAAAGAGACACTTTTCCATGGGGTAATCACAATAACATCCTGAGTTCCCAATGACCTAACCTGTTCTTCTGTTGCTGTGACCAGGGGAAGAATTCCTCATAGTGGAAGGACAATGGAGTCATTCCAGGAGTGACATTTTTTTCACATGATGGTAATACCAATTATCCTAGAACTGGGAGGGGAAAAAAAAAAACCCAGACCCTTACTTTCTTGTCAGATTTCCCAGAGGAGTGAGCATGGCACAGTTCTTTTTCTTTTCTCAAATTATTTTTAAATTAATTTGCTCCTGGCCCAGTTTACTTTTATTCATTTCTATAGCGATTGCATCACACCCAAATGAGTTTCCTCTTTCTATTGTTAGACAAATTTTCTCAAAAGATTTTAAAACTTTCTGTTTCCTCTTCATTCTGTTTTGTGGGTGAAGCATTTTTTTCAGACTCTTTTCTATGGGAGTCCTCTTGAGTTAGAAAGTTAAATGATATTCTGTGGTTGGGAGACTTGGAGAAAGTTTTGACAGTTGTAGGAGGACAGTTTATGAGGCAACATTTACTGTCCGCCATTGGCTTATCTCCTCTTGAATGTTACACTTAGTAATTTGTCATTAATCATCATCATAATAATGGTAAACACATCATAATAGAAACCATTTATTGAGGTCGTTATTATGTGCTAAGTGCTTTACATAGATCATTCTATTTAATCCTCATCACAGTCCTAACAGGTGGGTTTTATTTTTTTTTTATAATTTTATTTATTTATTTATTTTCCCCCAAAGCCCCAGTAGATAGTTGTATGTCATAGTTGCACATCCTTCTAGTTGCTGTATGTGGGACATGGCCTCAGCATGGCCGGAGAAGCAGTACGTCAGTGCGCGCCAGGGATCCGAACCCCGGGCCGCCAGCAGTGGAGCGTGTGCGCTTAACCGCTAAGCCACAAGGCCAGCCCAAAAACCATTGACTTGTACACTTTATTTATTTATTTTGTGAGGAAGATGGCCCCTGAGCTAACATCTGCCAATCCTCTTCTTTTTGCTGAGGAAGACTGGCCCTGGGCTAGCATCTGTGCCCATCTTTCTCCACTTTATATGGGACACCGCCACAGCATGGCTTGACAAGTGGTGTGTCGGTGCGCACATCCGAACCAGCGAACCCCAGGCCACCGCAGCAGAGCACGCGCACTTAACCGCTTGCGCCACCGGGGTGGCCCCCTGAGGTGAGTTTTATTAACCCTATTTGATAGATGAAGAAAGTTAAGAATTCCAAAATTTAAGTAAACTGCCCAAGATCATTCAACTTGTAACCAGCAAGGACTGCCTGAGTCCTAAGCTCTTACTCGTTATGCCCATGCTTCACAAAGTATGGTCCTCAGACCAGCAGCATCAGCATTATCTGGGAAGTTGTTAAGAAATGCAGATTCTCAAGCTGCACCCCAGATCTACTGAATCAGAAATTCAGGGAGTGGGGCCCAGCAATCTGTGTTTTAAGCAGTCTTCTGGGTGATTCTGATGGACGCTGAAGTTAGAGAATCAGCTGCAGCATGCTAGGGCTTTATAGGCACGAAGCCCTCATACCTGTAATTGGGGAACTGGGAAGTCTGGGAAATGACTCCAGGAACTTTGGGTTGCCTGGCTAGGACCTGTGGCTTCCTGTCTTTCAGAGGAAGGGCTGAGACTTCCCATGGTTCCAGAGGCCCCCAAGATCTCCAGTGGCTGGGCAGTTGGCATATCTCTGAATTCCCCTAAACAGCTGGCATCTGAGCTCAGACTGTCTGTGCCTGAGTCCTAAATAGATATCATCACTCTCCAATTCCTGCCCCTACCCCATGCAAAATCACTCACATTTTTCTAGCAATAAGGGAGAGCAGTGAAGGTGAGAGATCAAGGGGCAGAGTCCCCCTCTGGTGCACAGACCCACCATGGTCTAGCTGTGCCCCAGTCAAAGCACATTTGTCTGACTCTCCAAAGGATGCCCTGTGCATCTGCTGACCTTCTGCCTGTGAGTTCCAGCCTGCACCTAGTGATAACGCTGGAACTGAAATACGTATTTGTGTTAGTTTCCTATTGCTGCCATAACAGATGATCACAAATATAGTGGCTTAAGCAACACATATTTATTATCTTACAGTTCCATAGATCAGAAGTCCAATATGGATCTCACCAGGCTAAAATCAAGGTGCTAGCAGAGCACATTCCTTTCTGGGGGCTCTAGAGGAGAAACCATTTCCTTGCCTTTTCCAGCTTCTAGAGGTCACCCACATTCCTTGGCTCATGGCCCCTTTCTCCATCTTCAAAATCAACATTGTTGCATCTTTCTGAGCATTGTTCCATAGTCACATCTCCCTCTGACCACAGCCAGGAGGGATTCCTCTGCTTTTAAGGACCTATGTGACTAGATTGGGACCATCCTGATAATCTCCCCATCTCAAGGACCTTAATCATGCCTGGAAAGTCCTTTTTGCCATGTAAGGTAACATATTTCCAGGTTCTGAGAGTAGGACGTGGACATCTTTGGAGGTCATTATTCTGCCTACCAGAGTCTTCTCTCATAGCACAGGGCAACATTCTCTTTCGGAGACTATAGTTGCAAATTTCAAGAGATAGAAAGAAAATGAATTCATATATTATTTGTCAATTGGGGGAATATGTAAAGCCATATTTTCTTCATTCCAAGGCCATTTACTGAAATACATACCCCTGCTTTGAAAACACTTTTTTTGTTTGAGGGAAAAGGAAGCACTACCATGTTATAAGTATCCACAGTTCATAAGATGCATCCAGATTTCAGAAACAATACAACAGAATGGAAATATGTCTCAGAATCAAAGTGATACCATAATAATACCAAGTAGTGTTTTTTTTCCCTTCTTATACCTGCACATTTGATCTCAATAAAGCACTATTATAAAGAAGGCAAGGTAGGAAACTCGGGCTCATAGAAGCTTAATGACTAAACCTAAAGTTTCCTAAATAGATGCTAGGACCCAAAGCCGATCACTGACTCTAATTCCAGGACTTTTTCTATTATGTTAGGCAAGTCTTCCCAGAAGGACGTTACTTCCTCACTGATCTCCAAGCTTTGGGTCACAGCCCCCTAGGAAACCAGCAATTACAAGGATTGGGGGTTCATTCATATGTTAAACATTGGCTGAAGACTGCAAAGGTAATATATGTTTGTACCTCTCAAATATTTACAGGAGCTGATGTGATTTAATATACAGTTTCCTTTGCTGAGGTACTGCCTTTATAGCAGCATCTTGACATTTCATTTTCTAAATAAATGGATACTCAAAGTAAAACTGCTATTGTACAAACATCTGAAATATAAATATATATATATTTATATTATACAT